AGTGTATAATTTTATTTAGAATATTTATTAAATTTTGTATAAACAAGAATTAAGAAATTTTAAATAGGTAAATATTGGAAACAGCAATTGTGATGATTACAATAATTAAACATGCACATATTCTGGAACATTTAACAGTTCTTCATAAATTAAAAATGCTATTTTATCACTATCCAACGGTTTGATTTTCTGTCTCATTCTTTCTTGTTCAACGTTCATTACTATCTTTACCCATAAAGACAAAAAATTAATACGTTTCCCGTTCTTAATTTCAGGTAAAAGCTTCATAAACATTCTGTAAGCAAATGGATTAGCGGTGGTTTCTGAGAGCAGATGTGTTTTCTTTATATCATCTAATTTTCTTCTGATTTTATCAGCAATTGCCAGTTTTAACTCTTTTTTGTAGATAATATTTGGAAGATAACGTGCGGAAATAATAGAGTAAATTTGTTGATTTTATTATCGTTAATCATTTTTTGTATTATCGAGTTGTGTTAGGATCACTATGATATGATGTGATATATAGTTTTTTGGTGAATATTTTTTTTAATTTAATATTGTAATTCTTTGTTTTTCAATATATGCATAAAGAAGTTTTCATTAAAATTAAAATTGGACTATTTAATTTATTAATTAAATTGGCAAAAATAAAATTGTAAGAACTAAACAATACTTCTCATTATATTCTTTGTTTTTGAATTAAATTTTTTCACAATTTCTTGCAACAGATCTATTTAATTATCTGGAAATTAAAGAAACTCTCAAATGTATATTTTAGTTGTGATTTAAATAAATTATCTAGAATTTTGAGATGTTCATATTCAGCTTTTTTAAAATTTGTTTTAGCTCATTAAATTTTTTGAAAGCTTCGTCAACCCCGTTATGACATTTGTTTCTAATAGTATGCTAAAATGATACGCTTTATTTATATTTATTTTATCGATTGAATACAATGTATTGATTTATTTATTTTTTTTTTTTTTAAATATTAATGGTGAGGCCATGCCTTTAACTTTATTGAAATTTAATTGAAGTTTTTACAAAG